AGTTCTCAACAATTATTTGTTATTATTAAAGTTTAACATTATAAAATTAACAAAAATAATATAAAACTCATATCCTGGAGAAATAGCCACATGGTAGCCAAAAACCATATGTTCCCTTCCCGTTCTCCCACTGTTTCCTTGCTTGTCGTGTATTCTTTCCAAAAATTGGGACTTTTTAAAATGCTGTGGGACACAGGACAAATTGATAAAAATCAGGATTGTCCCGCCAAAAGCGGGACATCTGGTCACCTTAATTTTACCTAACAAGTGCGAGGCAGAGCAGGAGAGGCAGTGTGCACCTGCAGTGCAGTGCAGAGAGCAGGAGGTGGAGCCTGCCCAGGCCCCTGGGAAGCACCGAAGGTAGAGCATGGAGGGACAGGTGAGGGAAGTCAGGGACAGGCCAGCACGTGAACAGTCACCAACATTGTCGGTAGGCAGACAGCACATAGGGGCCAGGAGCATCAGGGAGCTGAGGACAGGTGACAGGATCCCATCACCCTGGTGACCCTAGAGCAGTGGCTCCTGGTAAATTAGGAAGAGAAGCCCATTCTGCAGAAATAGGAATGGAGGAGTTTGGCCATGACAGGAAGCTATAGGCAAGACTCTTGTTGGCAGGAAAAAGTAGGCTTCAGAAAGAAAGTGTCACCCTTAGCACGAGCTACAGGGAGGGGCCCCAAGTGACAGCACAATGAGCTGCTCTATCCTGGCAGAGGCCCCGGGCACAAGGACTGACCCTGAGCTGGACAGAGAGCTCACCTCAGGGGGGACGAGAGGGCCAGGGGAGTCTGATAGAGGTCAGGAGGAAGGCAGCCGGGGGCCCCTGTAGGGGCACACTCTCACCTTCTCACAGAGCCTCTGAAAGGGTCATCTGCAGAAGGCAATGGAAAGGAGGGGATGTTTGAGACACGGAGCCAATTAAAGATGATGCAAAAGATTGCCAAGCCTAGAAGGGCTGATCTGAGATGGAGTAGACGGCTCTGTGATGGAATCCTCCCTAGAGCCTCCTCCTGCCATGATCAGGGGAATTTGGAGAAAGAAGAGGCCGCCTGGAGTCAAGTGTGGGGATCTGCTGTGTGGCCAGAGGATCAGGTGTGAGCAGACTTTCACCAAGTAGTCCTTTCATGCAAGGCACGTGTCACTGCTGGGCACTGTACTGCCCCATCTACCCTAGGAGATGGAGCCACTATCCTCATACCGATCACAAGACAAAGAAACTGAGGCCTGGACGGCCTAGGGCTTGGTGTAGGAAGTTATTACCATAAAGGTGTAAGTTCAGTTGTCAAGCAGAACTCACTGCCCAATAACCCAGAACGGGCAGTTGGCATGCAGAGGGTT